TCATAATCCCAGCACTTGGGAGGCTGAGGCAGGAGAATTGTCTTGAGTTTGAGACCAGACTGGACTACAGAATAAGACTCTTGTCTCAAAAACCCTCTTCAGCTGAGTATAGTGACATGTGTCTTTCATCCCAACACTTGGGAGACAGAGGCAGGAGATCTTTGTGAATTCAAGCCAGAGTGGCCCACATAGTGAGTTCAAAGCCAGGGCTATATAGTGAGATCCTGTTTTGAAAGAAAGAAAGGTAGAAAGGAAGATGGGAGGAAGGGAGGAAACCAAGGAAAGCAGGCTAAACATTTGAGTTGTTGTTGTTTTGTTTTTTAAGACAGGGTTTCTCTGTGTAGAAACTGGCTGTCCTGAAACTCACTATGTAGACCAGGCTGGCCTTGAACTCACAGACAGACATCCACCTGCCTCTGCCTCCTGAGTGCCAGGATTAAACATGTGAGCCACCACCCCCAGTTGTAGTTAGTTTTTTATGTTTTATTCTTTGCTTATTCTTGGCTCATACATATATTCTAGATTATTTTTGTTAGTTTCCGTGTTGAGGTCTTTCATTCATCTGTTTTTCATTTTTCGGTGTAAACCAGTGAAATTTAGCATATGTTATTCTGTATGATAGTCTACCAATATCATTAATGAAATAATCTCTGACTTTGTTTGTTTGTTTGTTTTTATGTACATTGTTGTTTTGCCTGCATATATGTTTTTATAACTGGTTTCCTGGAACTGGAGTTACAGACAGTTGTAAGCTGCCATGTGAGTGCTGGTAATTGAACCCAGGTCCTCTGGAAGAGCAGTCAGTGCTCTTAACTGCTGAGCCATCTCGCCTGCCCCCATTCTCTGGCTTTTTAAAAATGCTGTCTTCATTAGGTATTATGTTTCTGAGTCTATGTGAGTTTTTCATCCCTAAAGTATAAGCTTTTATTGGTTTTTTGTTTTTGAGATGGGGCTGGGGTTTTTGTTTGTGTTCTGACAAATAAAGCTTGACTGGAGATCAGAGGGCGAAGCTAGCCACTAGTTAACCATAGAGGCCAGGCAGTGGTGGCACATACTTTTAATCCCAACACTTGGGAGGAGGAAGCAGGAAGATTAAGAGTTCAGAGCTACCCTGGACTACACGAGATTGAACCAGTATAAAAGAGAAACAGAGCTGAGCAGTGATAGATCATGCCTTTAATCCAAGCACTTGGGAGGATCATGCCTTTGATTCTAGCACTAGGGAGGTGGAGACAGGATCTCACCCCATTCAGTAGAGGTAAGAAGTCTCTGGTGGCTGGCTGCTCTGCATCTCTGTTCTTTCAGCTTTCACTCTCGATATCTGATTCCATGTTTTAATATAATAAGACTAATTAGGGTTGCACTACATCACTCTGTAGCTAAAGCTAGCCCATGGTTTCCAGGAATCTGCCTGTCCCTGCCTCCCAGCACTGGGATTACACATAATGTGTTATCACAGTGGCCTTTAGACAGGTGCTTGGGATCTGAACTCAGGCCCTAATATTTGCATGGCAAGTACTTTTACCCACTTATCCAGCTCCCAAGCTTCTGTTTTAGCTATGTTCCTTTGGCATGGGAAAGGTTATGTTAAGGGTATAGTTCCCCGACACACTTATCTCTCTCTTTCTCCCTCCTCCCTCCCTCAGCACAGTCTTGCTGTGTAGCTCAGGCTTGAACTCATAATCCCCCACCTCTGCCTCCTGACTGCTTAGGTTACAGATGTGGGCCACTTGCATGGTTGGCTTAGGTAGTATCATCAAACCACAGCCCCTGCCTCCTGGGCACATGATTTCACATGGCATGTAGCATATCTCAAGGGCTTCTCTCCGGCACGTTGCCCCTTTTTCTGGTTCTGTCAGCATCCTGTGGCTGACTGTTCTGGATAGAATGTACCTTCTCTTGGTGCAGGTTTGATATATCTGGCCATGAGCTACTTTCCAGTGACTTTCCTTCTAAAACTGAGCATCCCTATTACTGACAGTTTTTGCATAGTTTGATGCCAGCCCCAGTGATTGCTTAGAGCTAGTTTAAAGATTGATTTTCGTTTTTTTTTTACATATAGAGGCCATTTTTTAATTCACATCATCACATCCTACTTCCTGGTCCCCATAGGCTTGTAGCCATATCATAATGCAAAATGCATTTAGTCCAACTTCAAAAGTTCCCAAGGTTTATCACAGTATCAACACTGTTCAAAAGTCCAAAGTTCTATGTCTCTTCTGAGATTCATGCAATCTCTTAACTGTAATCCTCTGTTCCCAGTCGGTGTTGATTTTCATTTTTAAAAAATTATTTGTGTAGGTATATGCATGTGAGTGCTGGTGTTTGTGGAGGTCAGAGGCTTCAGATCCCCCTGGACCTTGAGTTACAGCGGTTTGTGAGCCACCTAGCGTGGATGCTAGGAACTGAATTTAGAAGTCTTCTGCAAGAACAGAACAGTACTTGCTGCTAATACTGAACCATTTTTCTAGCTTCTAGAACTGGTTTAAATCAGTGATCTTGACTTTAAATTTTCTTTCCGGTTGGAACACCATGGGTAGCCACTGCAGCTTGATGTTCAGGTAGGCACCTGAAGAATCAGAGTGCTTCTCCACCACTCAGAAAAAACACAGTGGACCCTTGTGGCTACAGTCTGGCTTCAGATTTAGCCTGCTTGAGCTTGTACATTCTCTATGTATGTATGTATGTATATATGTATATTTGTATATGTACGTATATGTGTATGTGTGTGTGTACACTTGTGGAGACCAAAGGACAATCACTGATATCATTTCGCAGGAGCTACCCCCTTTTTTTGAGAGAGGATTTTTCACTGGGAACTGGGGTTTGCCAGTAGTCCAGACTAGCTAATCTGGCTAATGAGTGAACACCAAGGATCTTCCTGTTTCCACCTCCCAACTGACTTTTCTTTTTATTTATTTAAAAATATTTATTTATTTATAATTTTTCATATTTATTTATTTTATTTGTATGAATGTTTTGCCTGCATATATATATATGCACAACACATGTGTGCCTCGTACCTGAAGAGGTCAGGAGAGGGTGTTGGGACCCCTAGAACTGGAATTACAGCCAGTTGTGAGATGCCATTTGAGTACTGGGAGTCAAACCCATGTTCTCTGCAAGAGCAACAAGTACTCTTAACTGCTGAGCCATCTCTCCAGTCCCTATTCGTTTTTATTTTATATGTATAATTATTTTGACTGCATGTATGTAAGTGACCTGCATGCATGTCTAGTGCTCACAGAGCGCAGAAGAGGATGCTGGTTTCCCTGACACTGGAGTGACTAGTGGTTGTAAGCTGCCATGTGGATACTAACCACTGAACCATCTCTCAGCCTCATACCTGACTTTTAATGTGGGTGCTGGGGGTATATATATAAATCAGTTCCTCATGCCTGTGTGGTAGGTATTTTATCAACTGAACTGTCTTCCAGTTATATGCAAATAGCATGCACACAAAATAAATAAGTAAAAATATAATAAAACATTTTTTAAAAGCAAGGCCACAAGCCAGGCAGTGGTGGCACACACCTTTTTTTTTTCTCTGATCTTCAGGCAAACTTTATTTATTAACACACAAATAAAATATCACCACATTTCAGCACAAATAAAATATCATCACATTTCCCCCTTTTTTCTAATAAAAATAAAAAATAATAAAAAAGTTATAACTAATATAAGAAAAACAATATACATTAAGTATAATAACTATATACAATATATACAAGCAATAATACCTCAACATTGTCTAGTCCATTTGCATTTGACAAACTCAGAGAAAATATTCCATTATCTATCCTATTTTGGTAAGTCCAAAATGTACCTGATTTACTTTCTATCCTAACTTATATTACCAACAGAGAACTATCTTATAATGGCTTTCCAATTTATATACTTTACACCTCTTTAGTGAGTTTCTTTTCTGAAATTCTTAACAAGGAGAACTGTAACTATCTAATCTTCAACTCCCTCAGAGACTATTACTTAGTAAAACAGGAAGTACAAACAAGCGACTTCCAAAAAAATGTGAGTTGACAGAAACAGCCAGCTGCCTGGACAGTCACCTGAGGTTTCTCCCCACAGTTGGGGCATCATCTTCAGCCTATAGGCTTAGCGTATCTGACAGATTCATTTGTGGCGCACACCTTTAATCCCAGCACTTGGGAGGCAGAGGCAGGTGGATCTCTGAGTTCGAGGCCAGCCTGGTCTACAGAGCGAGTTCCAGGACAGCCAGAGCTGTTACACAGAGAAACCCTGACTCAAAAAAAAAAAAAAAAGAAAAAAGAAAAAAAAAGAAAAAGAAATAAAAGTAAAGCAAGGCTACCACATTAGTTTGGTTCTTTCTGCATGTACCTGTTTCTCTTAATGTTGTTTTGACTTAATGTGATGGAACAAGAGCGCCCTCACTAGAAACTGATCCTATGAAGCCAGACAGTCTTGGGCTTCCAACCTCTGAAACCATGGGCTAGATGAGCCTTTGCTTTCTGTAGTACCACCCTTAGATGTCCTGCTGTGGCAATACAAAATGGACTAATTGTGACAAAAAATGCCAGCAATGCAACCTTGCTGTCTGGAGATTTGAGTCTTATCTGCCAAGTTTATGCTAATAGATGTTCACTCAGCCTTCCCATTGTGTGCCTGTGCATATGGGCAGCGAACTGAGTCTTCTTTCTGTTTGTAGAAAGCCACGAGAGGGTCACCTCAGACCTGGGGATGGCATACAACCGTGCCAGGGTTTTGCCACACTCAGATGAGCAGCTTGGGAACTCTGTGGCCAGCAAGGTATATCCCTGCCTCTCCTTATTGTCCCCTTGGGGCCTTGTCTACTCGCCTGCTAACTAGTGCTTTGGGATGTGGTCCATATCTGACATCACCAGTATCGGCAATGGGTCATGGAGATGCAGTTACATTCTTTCCTCATTACATCTCTCCTGATGGCTTGTATTTTTGTTCTAAGTCGAAGAAAAACGTGATTGTTGCAGAGACCCCCTCTGCCATCTTCCACTACTCAGAAAATTCCTGGGATGATACTGGGGCCAGTGGGAAGACAGATGCTATCTTCAAAGCTGCCATAAAGGACCTCCTTACCCTGATGAAGCTAGATGTAAGTGTGTGGGCTCAGAGAGAGGGTGGTGACAATTCCTGATTCCCACAGTACCTGCTTCTTTATTTCCCATTTGGGGCAGAACATCCTTCTAATGCTCTCTGGGGTGTCTGTGACCTGCACTATGGTCCATGGTCCTCTTCTTTATCCCACCCTGCCAGTAGTAGGGATCCACATCTGAGGTGTAGCCTTGGCCGAAATCAGTGTATTGGTGAGCTTTTAGAATCACCTGGGCACTCGAAACTACATCTTCCTCATGTGTTTTTAGTAAATTTTCCCTTTGTTGTTTTTTTGTTTGTTTGTTTGTTTTTGTGTGGGGGGTTGTTTGTTTTTTGTTTTGGGTTTTTGTTTGTTTGTTTTTCGAAACAAGCTTTCTCTGTGTAACTCTGGCTGCCCTGGAACTCTGTAGACCAGGCTGGCCTCAAACCCAAGAGATCTGCCTACCTCTGCCTCCCAAGTACTAGGATTAAAGGCATGCATCACCACTTCCTGGTGCTGTTATTTTTAAATATAAGTCTTGCTGTGTAGTCCAGGCTGGCTTCCTGCCTCAGCTTCCTAGGTGCTAGCGTGAATAGGCATGTGCCACCATGCCCAGCATATCCCTCATATTTTTTAAGAGCATGAACATATGTGTATATACATGTGTCTTAGTCATGTTCTATTGCTGTGAAGAGGTGCCATGGCCATGGCAATGCTTATAGAAGAAAGCATTTAGTTGGGGCCTGCTTACATTTAGAGGTTTGATCCGTTGCCATCATGGCAGAAGCATGGCAGCGTGCCCACAGATATGATGCTGGAGAGGTAGCTGAGAGACCTATACCTGGATGGACAGGCAGCAGGATGAGAGAGACACTGGGCCTGACTTGAACACTTGAAACCCCAAAGCCTCTAGCCCCCCAGCCCCTGTGCATACTTCCTGCAACAAGGCCACACCTCCTAATCCCTGTCAAGTAGTGCCCCTCGCTATTGACCAAGCATTTACATCCGTGAGCCTATGGGAGCCATTCCTATTCAAACCACCACAGTGTGTGTGTATACATGTGGAGGCTAAAGAACAACTTCGGTCGTCATCCTCAGGAACATGTGCACCTCCTTTGAGACAGGGTCTCTCATTGCCCTGAAGCCTGCTGGGTAGGCTGACCAGTGAACTTCCAGGCCCCCCTTGTCACTGCTTCGCCAGCACTGGGGTTCTAAGCACATACCACCGTGTGTCTGGCGTTTTAAACATGGCGTCTAGGGTCAAAGTCAGGTCCTTGGGCTTGCAAGGCTAGTGCTTTACTGACTTAGGAGCCCATCACCATCATAGTGGGGAGCATGACGGCCATCAGGAAAGCCTGGTGCTGGAGCAGTTACTGAGAGTTCACATCCTGGTCCACAAACAGGAAGCAGAGAGGCACAACTGGGAATGGTGTGGGTCTTGAAACCTCAGAGCCCACCCCCAGTGATACACTGGTTCAAGGCTACATCTCTTAAGCCTTACCAAACAGTTCCACCAAATGGGGACTAAGTATTCCAATATTAGAGTCTTTTTTTTTGTTTGTTTGTTTGTTTGTTTGTTTGTTTTTTGAGACAGGGTTTTTCTGTGTAGCTCTGGCTGTCCTGGGTCCACTCTGTAGACCAGGCTAACCTTGAACTCAGAGATTCATCTGCTTCTGCCTCCCAAGTACTAGGATTAAAGGTATCTGCCATCACCATCTGGCTAGAGTCATTCTCATTCAGACTACCATACCAGTACATGGATGGAACACAAACCCACTCTGCATATCTCGGTCCAGCCCCCTTCTCCCCAAAAGAGGCCCTTCTCTGTACCGGGCTGTGCTTCTAGATGCCCTGGTTGATTTCACTTGATCCTAAGCTGAGTAACTGATGCCAAGTCTGTTCTTTAGAGTGAGTGCTGTGTGTTTAGCGTGTGGATTCACTCACATGGTGGCCTGTAGTTGGAACTGAGTCCCTGTCATCACTGCCCCGTCTGTGAGTGTATTGATCTTAGTTCTTTGATCGCCCACATTGCTAGAGGACACATGGGAGTGCCAGCCGGGTTACTTTGAGAGGTCATAGTGACCCAGTTGTTTCCAGTCACTATGGGTTTCTTTTTCTTTTTTTAATATTGCTTTCTCTTTTATTTTATTTATTTATTTATTTATTTATTTATTTATTTATTTATTTATTTATTTATTTATTTCTGGAGCTGAGGACCAAACTTAGGGCCTTGTGCTTGCTAGGCAAATGCTCTACCACTGAGCTAAATCCCCAACCCTCATTATGGGTTTCTTGTTCACCCTTGATGTGGGCCTGGGCATAGATGCTAGGCCATGAACATCCCTAGTTTTCTCCCTCAGAAACTGGGGAGGACTCAAGGCTTGTATCATTAGCAGGTGTTGAGAGCGTCAAACTTTCTCTCTCTGGCTCTTTCTTTCTCTGTGCCCTCTACTCTGTGTGTGTGTGTGTGTGTGTGTGTGTGTAACCCCAGCCCAAGGTCAGTGTCAGGACAGGGACAGAGATAGGCAAGTTCTGGGGCTGTTTAGTTAGGGACCAAGTTTCAAAGAGTGGCTGGAGGGACTAGAGAGATGCCTTGGCAATTAAGAGCATTTGTTTCTCTTAAAGAGGACTAGGGTTCAATTCCCAGCACCCAGATACTGGTTCACAACTCTGTAACTCTAGTTCTAGGGTGTCTGACATCCTCTTCTAACCTCTGTTGGCACTGCATGCACCTAGTATGCTTACATACATGCAGATAAAACACCCATACACATAAAATAGAAATAAATACTTAATTTTTTTTTATTTATGTGCATTGGTGTTTTGCCTGCATGTATATCTGTATAAAGGTGTTGGGAATCTCTAGAACTGTAGTTACAAATGGTTGTGAGCCACCATGTGGTTACTGGGAATTGAACCCAGGTCCTCTGGAAGAGCAGCCAGTGCTCTTAAACACTGAGCCATCTCTACAGCCCCAAATAAATTCTTAAAAGCAAACAAAAAGTGGAATCATGGGTAAAGGCACTTGCCACCAAGCCTGATGACCTGAGTTTGTTCCCTGGGACCCATATAATGAAGGAGAGAGAACCAACACCTGCAGGTTGTCCTTTGACCTCTACATGTACAGTGTGGCACATGTGTGTTGCTGCCTCCTCCACAAATAAATACATAAATACAACACACATTTTTTTAAAGGTGCAAAGTTGTAGAGAAGGACACCTGATGCCAGCTTCTGGCCTTTATATACACACATATGGGCACCTGTGCAAAAACATGTCTATACATGCATACACCCCCCCCACACACATATACAAAGATATTTCTAGGTATTGCTAAATGTCTTAGAGTTTCCTTTTTGTTCAGTAGCATTCTCTGTAAGAGGTTGTTCCATGGAGCCATGTGTCTTTAGTCCCTTCTGGGTCTTGCTCAGGCTATCTCTGGCTCTATGTGTGGCATTGAAGCATTCACTGTTGGCATTATGGGAGCCTGAAGAGGATGCTCTTCTTTCTACAGTAGATGAGACTGTTTCGCTAGTGTACGGATTCCTGGTTAGCCCAGTAACTGTGTAAGTGACTGAGAGGTCCACGCTGAGCTAGCTGTGTGTCCCCACAGCTTTTCTCTTTGGTTCCCTTCTCTTTCTGGCTTTTTCCTCACAGCTTCTTTTATTGAGCTAACTTTTCTTCCCTTGAGTCTAGCAAAGGTTCAGAGATGGCTTCTGATGAGTCAACCGCTGTGTAGGTGCTTAGAACCAAGCCTGGGTCCTCTGCAAGAGCAACAAGTGTTCTTAACCACTGAGCCAACCCTGCAGCCCCTACTGCTGTTTCCTAACGGTGGCCAGTGGCATTTCTTTTTGTTTTGTTTTACTGTCACCAAGAGCTGTGAATCTAAGTACTTGGATTTTTTTCAGGCCATGGCAGGTATCATGCCCACGTACATACAGACACTCAGTCCCTGCATGCTCTTGTCTGCTTTGGCATTCCCTGGTCATGTTGAATTCCAGCCTGTTCCTGACCTTATGTGGCATGAAGGAAAGCCAAATTTTGCAGGTGGGATGGGAGATGGTGCCCTAATTAGATTTATCTAAGATGAGCCCTTGTCTGCAGAAGGAAAGAAAAAAAGAAAGAGCGAGAACTGTCATGCTGCACCTGAAATTCTGAGATGAAGTGATTCTGCCTTGGTTTCCTGGGTGTTTGGGATTATAGGTGCACACTGCTACACTTGGCAGTTTTTGTAATGAGTATGGAAAGGGTACCCCAGTTTCTTGTTTTCTCTTTTTGACCTTTATGAAATAAACTGCCTTTTCGTACTGAAATTAAATTCGTTGTCTGTCCTGTGTAAGTTCACAAGCATATTGGTCTGCATCTCTGCTGTATTCCACTGATCTTTTATGCAGAATACTGCCTTGTCCATCTTAGTAGGCAGTCCCTAGAGAAGCACTTGATATAGCCATACCCATGGTGCCTCTGTCCTATCCTCTCAAGCCCCATCTTTTGTGCCTTCACTTAAGTACCTCTTCATGTTCCTTCTTGAAATTTGTTCTATGTTTTAGGACCCATCCCTGTTGGATGGCCGGGTGGCATTTCTTCATGTTCCTGCAGGCACCATAGTATCCAAGCAGGGAGATCAGGTGAGTGAAGGACCTCAGTCCTAAAGGACTGGTCATCGAACTGCCCAGCCCTACAGCTCTGTGCTGGGTGGAGTGTGGGTGAGGCCGCAGTGGTTGGAAGTTGTCCCAGTACCAGACTGCTTGCCTCTGGGCACTGCCTTGGTCTCTAGGCAGCTTGGGCCTAGATGCTGGGCTTCTCTCTATGCTTGTGCCTGCTACTTTGGCTCCTCTTCTGGAACCTAAGGACTTGGGGTGAGAAGATTTGCAGAGTCCCATAATAGTTGCTAAGAAGTTGGGATTTGGCCCTGCATGTTTTTGTGGATGTTGGATCAAAATATGTGACTCTAAAGGGTAGCAGAGATGTAGCCCTATAGACAGCTTCAAAGGGATGGGCTGCACCTTCACCTCTGTATGAAATTGGCTGACAGGTAGAGCAGTAAAAGGGCGTGTGTGGAGGAAAGGTATATGTGTCTGAGATTTGAAAAACTAAATTTCCTAAACAAATCCTAGGCACCACTCAACTAAATAATAGAGCTATAGAACTGCTTCAGTGGAAACATGTGCCCAAGTCTAGATTACATATAATCTAGAACAGGCAAAGAAGACGCTGCTTGTACCATGTGTGACTGGGGTGGGGGGGCTCTCTGTGAACTCCCGGGTTCTGGGCCCATGGGCCATCCTGAGTCACTATCACATACATCTTCCTGAAGCCAGCCTCTGTTTTTATCAGGATGTCAATATCTTGTTTGTGGTCTCCGGGCTGCTGCATGTCTACCAGCAGCAGATCGACAGCTTGGAGGATACCTGCCTCTTCCTCACACACCCTGGGGAGATGGTGGGACAGCTGGCAGTGCTCACCGGAGAGCCCCTGATGTTCACCATCAAAGCCAACAGAGACTGCAGCTTCTTGTCCATCTCGAAGGCCCACTTCTATGAGTGAGTCACCTTGATCCCTTCCCTGAGCCACTCGGAATGCTGGGGCACTTTCTATGCCCCTCTCTGTCCTGCTCACCTGTCTCCTGGGTCGTCTGTCCCCGAGGGCTCTCAGGGATAGGCCTCCTGCTGGCCTGCCCTGGCTCTTTATCTAGGTGGCTGCATACATTGGTACACATACACAGGCTCAGGTGTTCAGTCAGAGAACCTCCACCTGGCTTGTGATATCTGACATAATGCTGACATGATGCTGCTTCCTCTATTGGTTTATGGCTCTGGCCCAGTCCCGTCTCTTTGTTGGTACATTCTGTGGCCACACATACTGGAATTAGGTTCTAGCTCATTGCCCATCTGCCTGTTCACAGTAGATGAGGTCTGGGTGGAAAGGCAGGATGTTGGTCATGGAATGTCCTCCTCACTCTCCTTCCTTAAGTGGGACAGAAACTATTATCTACCTATCTACCAGCTGTGATGTCCTCAGCTTGTCTGAGAAGCCACAGGCTGTATCCTCTGCTGGCCTTCCTGCTTGTCCCTGTGAGTTCCAGAGCACAAGATTAAAAACTATCTTAATTTGTTCCTTTCTGGGGGGGTTGGTCCATCAGGGTCCACAGTTTTTCTGAGCTACCTACCCTCATAGTTATCTGTGCTAGCCAGCATCCGTCTTTCTATCCACATTGCTGGAAGGCCTCTTCTTCATCCATTGTGATTCCTGCTATGACCTTGTAGCTCTCCTGTTTAAAAGTTGGATACGTGCTCAGACAGAGAATGGAGGTCAGGGGCCAGAAGGTAGTAGAAGCACAGAAGCTTAAAAACCCTGTTTCCAAGCTGGAGAGATTAATGGTCAGCAATTAAGAGCACTAGCGATTCTTCCAAAGGACCCGGGTTCAATTCCCAGCTCCCACATGGCAGTTCACGACTGTCTGTAACTCCGGTTCCAGGGGATCTGGCATCTTTACACAGACATACATGCAGACAAAACCCTAATGTACATAATAAATAAATAAATAAATAAATAAATAAATAAATATTTGAAAAAGCATTTCAACCAAAGTGCTTCCAGATCAGTAGTAGGTGCCAGGAAAGGGAAGGCATTCTCCTGATGTAGCCTCCCTCTCCTAGGACTTGCTTGAATACCCTGGCCTGGTACCCTGATGCTGTGTCCCCTGATATTCTCAATATGCTGGGGTGAGGACCCCATTTACAGATGGGAGGCATACCCAGACAGCTAGAACTGTGTCCCTCTGTTAGCAAGAGGCGCCAGGATGAAGTTGAGTTGCATGGATCTACTCTGAGATACAGAACATCTTCTCAGTCTGCTGTCCCTGCCCCTGTCCGTCTGTACCAGGGAATGCTCAAGAAGGATAGTCAGAAAGGTCAACAGGAACTGCCTCCTATGGTTGCCAGGACCCTATGGCCTTGCTCTCTTTCTCTTTGCTCCTTTGGCCTTGGCATAGCCTTGCCCATGCATGTGTGTCTGTCTGTTATCCTACAAATCTGGGTAGGATGTGTGTGTGTGTGTGTGTGTGTACATGTCCTTGTCCACGTTTGAGTGTGTCTGGGTTCCTCTATGTGTGTCTATATGTCCTTATGTTTCTCTGTGGGCCTTTGTGTACATATGTATTTGCATATCTTTATCTATGTCCACATTTGTGTATATGTGCACATATGGATATCCTTGTTTATATATGTACATGTCTGTTTCTGTGACCTGTTAATGTGTTTGTATTTATGTGACCTTGTTTACATATTTTTGTCTATGTGTGCATGTGTTACATGTCCTTATCCGTGTGTATCTCTATGTGTCTATATTTTCTGTGTGTGCATGTCTTTGAATGTCCTTGTCTGCGTGTATGTGGCTGTATGTGCATAAAAATCCTGATACAGGGCTGGAGAAATGGCTCAGAGGTTAAGAGCACTGGCTGTTCTTCCAGAGGTCTAAAGTTCAATTCCCAGCAACCACATTGTGGCTCAACCATCCATAATGAGATCTGGTGCCCTCTTCTGGCATGCAGACATACATGCAGGCAGAACTCTGTATATATAATAAATAAATTTTTTTTTTTAAAAAAAATCCTGATACAGGTATTTCTCACTCTGTAAACACAGTCCAGCACGTGTCCTAGGGACTCTCGTCCAATTGTGGGGATAAAATTATATCCAGTTGGCTTCTCTGAAGCTATTATCATTTGTCTTACTACCCTGGGATGGTGAAGGAACTCCCATTATCTATTGCATGGAACAGTGCTCTGCTTTCCTGTGTCTTCTGGACTGGCAGCTCCATCTCCTGTTACTTGGCCAAGGTCTGGAGTCCCTCAGCCTTGGTTCTATCCTGCCCAGTGCATATAAATAGCCCATGAGCTGACCCACAGCCCTGGAGCTACCACGGTATCCCTGCTGTTGCCCTGCCTTCCACAGTCTGTCCACACAGTCACCAGAGAGATGACAGTGTTCTTAGGTCAGAACCCTAGGCACTCTGTAACCACCCAGGGTAGACTCTGAGGCAACTTTGCTAGCGTTGGCTACCTCATTGTATTTGCTGCTGTCTACACTCATGGGTCTGAGTATGTGGTGGATGGAACCTTGCTGCCCAAACCTGGAGCTTATGTGTGGCCTATGTTCCGGGGACCTCAATGAAGTGGACAGCCCTGTGGGTGGTCTTCTCCTATTTCCCCAAATCCATTGTCCCTGTGCAGCTAAGAGCAGATGGCTGCCTAGGCACCATCCTGTCTTAGTCCTCAGTGTCTTTTTCCTTCAAGTGAACATTGTGTGGTAGGCTGCTTGAAGTTCTGCCTGCTCTCAAATGCTGAGAGTCTGTGTGAGGAATGGATGTAGTAGGATTGGACATAAGATTGGGAGGTGAGAAGAGACCCTGATGGGAATGGAAATGACTTGAGATTGCACGACAGGATCATGAGGAAACGGCCAGATATCGTCCTGGGCGTGGCACACACAGTTGTGAAGAGGATGTCATCCTTTGTACGGCAGATTGATTTTGCTCTAGACTGGATGGAAGTAGAGGCTGGGCGTGCCATATACAGGTGAGGCTCACAGATGTTTAGTGTACAGCAGAACCCACAGTATACAAAGGGGCCCAAAGGTGTGCAGTGTACAGAGGTCTGCAGGTGTCTCCATCACTGCATATCCCTATTGACATACAGTAGTTTTGCTAACAGACAAGACTCTATACTGTGAAGGTTGTACAATGAAAAGGGTAAGTTTCCTTATCCATTCCCCCACCCCTGGTACCCATAGTAACATTCTTTGACATCATCGTGGGTTCTGTGCATATACATAGACACAAAAGCATCTTCAACAAACATCTTTCCATGTGCATACACACAAACCCACGCCGTGCTATCAGAAGACCCAAGAGCCGTTTGAAGTGGCTTTGTAAGGTGCTGCTGCTGTGCTGACTGACTCTGGCTGGGCCACCTTTGCTGGCTTCACCTCTGCTCAGGTCACAGACAGACCTAGATTGTAGCTATCGATATTTGTTGCTGCTTAAAATTTAAGCCAAGAAAAAGTTAAAATTATATGAAGTAGTAGTAAACCCATGTGTTAGCACAAATATTTTAAAGTGAAAAGTAATTACATTTTTAAAATTGTTATTTATTTACTTACTTACTTATTTAAGTCAAGGTCTCACTATATAAGCTTGGCTGGCTAAGAATTCACTCTGTAGACCAGGCTGACCTCTAACTCACAGGGATTCACCTGCCTCTGTCTCCTGAGTGCAGTGATCAAAGGTGTGTGCCACCCCTGCCTGGCAAAGTAACTGTACTTTACAAACCATAAATTACCCAGAAGTCTACATTCTTTTAATTTGTTGCATCCTGGGATCTAGTTGGCTGTTAAGAAGCTGGTTCTGTGAGCAGCTTAGGCAGGTGAACTGAGCACTTTTGTATCTCCGCAGGCAAGGGGACAAGTCTGACTGCACATACATCGTTCTCAGTGGCCGGCTGCGCTCTGTGATCCGGAAGGATGATGGGAAAAAACGCCTGGCAGGGGAATATGGCCGCGGAGACCTTGTTGGTGTGGTAGGTGTCAGCTCCCCTCTTTGCCTTCTATGGTTCTCTGGAATCTGCCTGTCGGGTTACCTGAAGAGGAGGAGGAAGCCTGAGTGACCTGCAGAAGGATAGCCATCCCTGACCCCTCCCTGCTGGTCCTGTCCTTTGTCTAGAATCCTATCTTAGCCTTCTGGGAGGTCCAAGATTCTGGTCCCTGGTTTCTGGCTGCCTTTTTAAACCCTGCCAGTACTGAAGCCGTGGTGGATAGTATCTAAAAGGACTTGACTGAGGGTAACTAGCAGCTTATCCTAGCTTCTCAATGCAGCCTACATAGGCAGGTTTCTCTGTCCTAAACTGGACTGATCAGCCCCTGGATGTTGCAGTGTTGGGCTTGTAGAGCTATATAAGGACAGTAAATTCCAACCTGCACTTCTGGCTTCTAATGTTTCAATTTTTTGTTTGTTTTTCTCTTGAGACAGGATCTTACTCTAGCCCAGGTAGGCTTGGAACTCACCATGAAACTTGAGCTGGCCTCAGTGTTTACATAGTGGTCTCACTATTGCCTCAGCTTCCTGAGTATAGACTATAGGCTTTTAAAGCAGTAAACTGTAGTCAGAAGGTTTCTCAGGTCCCTCAGCCATTTATAAAATAATCACTCAGAGATTTATATTAATTATAACTATAACTGCTTGACCATTTTACTGACTAGCTCTTATGCTTAAATTAACCCATGATTCTTATCTGTATTTAGCCACGAGGCTTGGTACCTTTTCTCAATTCTGCCTTGTCATCTTGCTTCCTCTGTGTCTGGCTGGCAACTCCTGACTCCACCTTTCCTCTTCCCAGCATTCTTCTAGTCTGATTGCCCCACCTGTACTTCCTGCCTGGCTACTAGCCAATCAGCATTTTATTAAACCAGTGTACAAGAGCATTATCCCACAGCAGTAAACCTATACAGATCAGCACAAATATATATATTTTAAAGTGCACGAGTGTTTTGTCTGTAGATATGTTTGCATGCCTGGCATATGGGTCTGGTGCCCACAAGAGACTTAAAGAGGGCATCAGAAGGCTGAGGCAGGTGCATCTCTGTGAGTTCTAGGCCAGCCTGGGCTAGAATGAAAAGAAAAGAAAAGAAAAGAAAAGAAAAGAAAAGAAAAGAAAAGAAAAGAAAAGAAAAGAAAAGAAAAGAAAAGAAAAGAAAAGAAAAGAAA